CCCCCTGGTTCTGGACGCTGCTCTGCCCTCGAGCAGGACATGCTGGACCCGGGGTGGGATCCGAATATGCATCTGGGGAACGAGGTGGAGGGGGGAGTCTATCGAATGAGCTGGCGAATACGGCAAACCTAAGATCACAAAGACATAGCTGGGGCTCCGCTCTGGCCGGGCACGTGACCTGCGGCCGGTCATTGTCATCACAAGAGTGCGCGCCCCGAGGATGGGTAGCTCCAGCGGCGAGGGCTGCGGCGCGGGCCTGATGGGACAGGCACGCTGCCACCACCAGACGGCTCGCACACCTTGCGCTGCGGGGTGCAGAGGACGCCATTCCTTGCCCTCTTTCTGTAGCTGCCAACCTTTAACTTTCTTTTTTTTTTAATTTTCATTTTAAAGATGTGGGGTACAATTCAGGGTCAGGTATACAGATGGTCGTTGTACAGGTAAAGTTCGGGCCTCCCTTTGGTCCCCACGTCACCTGGTTTGAGATCAGGTACCCCAGTTGATGAAGTGTGCTCCCCACCCCCGGCAGTTTCCCACCCCTGCCAATCCCTTTGTTGCAGTATTATGGTAAATGTTCGGGATCCGCTTATGAGTGAGAGCACGTGGCACTCCGTTGTTTGTGACAGATCACTCAGTATGATAGACTCCAAGTCCATCCGAGTTGCTGTGAAGTTCACAATTTTGTCCTTCTTTATGACTGGGTAATATTCCGCCGTGTATACTACCACATTTTAAAAATCCGGTCTACTATCCATGGGCAGCACGGTGGGTTCTATGTTTCTGCTCTTGTGCACCAGGCTGCAATAAACATGCGCCTGCAGGTCTCTTTTCAGTGGAGCGATTTGAGTTCCTCCGGGTCTATTCCCAGAAGGGGGATTGATGGGTGGTACGGAAGGTCGGTTTTTAGATTTTTTTGGGGAATCGCCACACTGCTTTCCACAGAACCAACCCCTAACTTCCAAAAGCTCGGAAATATTTCGGATCACTTCTCTTGGGGGACTGCAGCGACTCGGTGGATCCCAACTCCCCAGGCGGACCCCAGCTCCTCTTTCTACAGAGGCGGGATCTCCGGCAGACGCTCGCCACACCCCGCGCCCCCATTCCCGCCCCGCCACGGGACCGCAGCTCGCGGGCGGCCATCGGCGGCACCGGGATCGGCCCGAGCGCAGCCGGCCGACTGCCCAGCTCCACTGGGAAGCTGGCGGCCCCGGGACACGCCCCGCGCCTGCGCACTCGGACAGGCGGCCGAGTCCGCTGCGCCTGCGCGTCTCGCCCGAACCGGCCCCGCCCACGGTCGCTCGCCGCAGAGCACTCCGAGCAGTTCCCCTCGGCCCGGGGCTGTGCGCTAGGGCGCTTGTCACTCATTCCTCCACCCGCCCGGCCTCTCCGGAGTATCTTACTGTGTGCGAGGCCAGGGCTGGGCAAAGTCTGGGTCTCAAGAAGGAGCCAGAAGACGTGGCCCCCGACCCTGCCAAGCTCCAGGGCTGGTTCCGAGGATGTTCACGTGCTTGGCATCTCCCGAGGACCTACTGTGTGCCCGGACTGGGCTTGGCGATATACGGGGCAAAGGGAGGAATCGACCGTGTGTGGTCCCTGTCCCTGAATGACTCCAGAGCTGGTGTTGGGGACAGCTTCACCAACAATTCTTGAGGACCTACTGTGTGCTGAGGCCTGGGTGGCTGGGAGCCCAGGGAAGAACCAACTTCGTGGTCCCTGCCGCAGGTCAGGGTTTTTTCACTTATTAATTCACTGTCCTGACATTCCTGAGGACCGATTGTGCTGAGGCCTGGATAAGGTCTAATGCACAGGTAAGACTCAGACACGGTGATTCCGGACCAGCAGGACACCAGGACTAGGCCAGGAGTTTTTTATTCATTTATCCATTCACTTTGAGATTACCTGAGGACCTACTGTGTGCCACGGCCTGGAAGATGTCAAGTGCACGGGTAAGACTCAGACACCGTGGTTCCTGACCCTGCCAGGGCACCAAGGCTGGGTCA